GGGCAGGCTTCACCTCCTCTTTGGTTTTGAAAACATAGTACTTGGAGAAAATTTTCCTCTTCAGAAAATTCTTTTTCTTAATGTTTTACCATGTTTCTAAAACCTGGCTTCATTGTTAGTGTTGGGAAAAACTGGGGCACTCCTGTTTCTTAGTTTTGTAGAGAGCTTACTATACAGAAACTTTAGCTCCCATTTTACCTGCAACTTCTGTTGGATCCCAATTTAGTGACAGTAAGTAGCACCAGGTTAGAATCATTTCTGATTTGTACCATTTCGTTTGTAATTTGTTAGCAGGGTGGCAAAATTCCCTAACTCAGATGCTGAAAGGAACTTTTTTTTCATTTTGTATGTGCATACATCTGTTTTGGAACTAGGTCTGTAATCAGTCTTCCCATGAACATACTAATGAAGCAGTAGAGACAAAAATAAGGAGTATTTCATCTCTCAGCCCAAGGACTTGTCATGTCTTATCATTACAATGAAGCCTTTGAAAATCCAGACTACCACTTGTCAGAGACACTGGAAATTGATAGAAGGTAAGTTTGTTTAATTTTGCTGTTGTGACTGTGCCATAAGCAATTAAATTCTCTATTTATATGCAGGAGAAGCTTCTTCTCCGGAATTTTAATTTATGGAATTCTTCAATGCCTCCTTTATGCTTGCATTCTCAGACACAGATTTTTAAAACTGCTATTGGGAAGGCAGCATTCAAGAGAAACAGCACATCTGCTTTTTACCTGTTGGTTCAAGGTATCTTAGTATTTATGGTACAATGCCATGGAAATTTTCTAGTTCCAGTAATGTTTACAGTGTGCTATAACCCTGGATGTCCTCATTTTTTCCAAGCAGTTATTCCTGTGTAGGTAGAATCCAAGCTAACTTGAGGTGGAGAAAAGTTTCAGTCTTTCTAATTCAGTTAATGACCAAATCAGAATAATGATGTTAGAGTTCTAAATACAAAATACCTCTCAGTATCCGTTTGCTTTATAAAGTACTCAAATTTGATGATAATAGGCAACAGTTAGTAAGGATGTCTATGGAAAGGTTTTGTGGCACTTTGAGTGTTCTTTTTTATTGTTCACACAGGAGGAATTCTCGAGAGAATCTGTTCTCTTACCAAGCCACTTCTGATTCTTCACTACCCGGTTCCTATGGAGAACATAGTGGAAGAGAACAGAATTACCCTCTGGACATACCAATGGCCTCCATGAGACACGGCTCTGAATACAGTGAAGCTTTACCACGAGTTAATGTCCGAAGAAGAAGTCCATATGGAAATTCCACAGGTATGTAATTTCTCGTATGAACAGCTTACAGAAACACTGAAACAGATAACGTCCCGACGGAGTCCAGTAGCTCCGGAAAGCTCAACTCTACGTATTTGTGGATGCTGGCAGTGGGGTTTTTTTTTTTGCCTTTTTTTCCCCCTAGAAGTAATTCAGTTGTTACATTAACAGATCCATGGACTGTCTGTTGTATTAGCAGATCAGTAGATACTGACTTGTGTGGCCTGAGTAAATTGTTGAGTACTGGGATGTACACTGGAGTGAGACGTAGGAGTTCAGCCAAGAGGGCTGATACTCTGTGTGTAAATAATCCATAGCAGTATAGAACTTTCTGTATAATTCTGATTCCATTCAACAGATAATCTTTCCTTTGAGCCTGAGTCTGAACTGGCATACAGCCCACCTTCTACCTTCCGTAGCCCCTATACCCACAGCGTTTTGAATGAATCGGAAGGTAAGATGCAAGTATTGTGGTGTGTCAAGATATTGTATGTTAGTCTCACCCTCCATAAAATAGTAAGCACTTAAAAGCCTTTTGGTTCAGATATGAAGGTATTCATGTAATAAAAGGAACCATAAAACAGAAATTCTATTTTACTATCCTACATTGTTGTAGCTGAATTTTTCAGTATCTTCCTACAGGTGATGATCTTTGTTTCCTGAGCAATGAAAGGTGTAACGCCTACTCGTTTTAACCCAAACTCCCTAGAAGTGGGTCAGCATAAAACAAACTTACAGTTATCTGAAGAGACTTACTATAGGAGGAAATAAGGGGAGGATAGGGTGCATTTTTTATACCCTTTAGTGGCTTTTTCACTATGTTGTCTCTGTGTAAGTTCTAGACCCTAATTATTATTATTAGAGATTTATACTCCTTAAAATACAAGGAGTCTGGAATAGAACAATCAGGCTTCTAATTTAGGCCGCTGTAGTGATTTATTGTTCATGTTCTGAGTAGGAACTGTTCTCACCATGCTGTGTAATTTTTCTGTTACAGTCAGTTCAGTTTTTGTCTGCTGCTTTTGGAATGTAACTAAGAATTCTTTTCTGGAACCTGGAAATGCCTTGCTCAGTGAGTGACCATAGAGATAGGGCATTTCCAAACATTACCTATCACATATGGCTTTCAATATCTGGTAGGAAAGAGAGTGCATTTCCATAACTAGAAGAGAAATGTCTGGGTGCTGAAAGCTCAAGAAATACCTGAGGAGGCAGAGATGTTTTTCTTTTTCTGATTCTTTTTAGTTGCTACAAAGAAAGTTGTCTCCAAGTGTAAATGACACTAATGTTAAGGAACCATTAGATCTAAATAGTAAATATAGTGCAGGCAAGGCAAGCTGTGGCTAAACTCATCTGTTTCATAGCTGGACGGCAGATGTTTTTAAGGAATATAGTCACTAGTGTCTGGATAATTGCATGAAAGAAGGTTGAAAGAACAGTTGCATTTTGGCTTCAGGGAAGTTGGAGTCTGATACATATAACTTATTTGGCACGATTGTGATTCTAAAACAATCCCTCTGAAGTCAGTGTAAGGATTTTTAAAGAAAGGACCTATCTTCTAGAAGAAAGTCTTGAACAGTCAATGTGCTCATTTATGAGCGGGTTATCCAGGCTTCCATGTAGCTGAAGGCTATGCTCTGTACCTCTCTTCCAAAACGTATCTGAAAGACTGCATACGGTTGTCAAGCACAACCAGGAAAGAAGTGAATGAGGGAGTATATATTTGCATGCAGGTAGTGAGATTGAAGGGTATACTTTTAAGTTGTTTCAAAACTCGAATTTCTCAAGTCAATTTGTCAAGTATGTCTGGGCTTACTGACCAGTGCATGTTATTTAGATAGCTTTATTCAGAGATGTGGCAGAAGACCACATGATGAGATCTTCACAACTTCTTCCAGTGTGCTTGAAGCAAATCCAGTGTGGAAAGGAAGTAGGAGTTTAGGTAAGTGGTTCAATATTAAATAGCATCTTGCACAAGATGGTGTGGTTGATACTGTTCCTGATTTATTCACCTGAATTGCATGTACAGTCTTTCTGTGGTTATGGGAACAACTTGGTTTTGTGTTAATGCTAGTGATTCATCTTTTATACTCTACTATCACATTAAAATCCCATGATAAAGGAAGCACAGTGCAGTCTGAATGTGTTAAATCATAGACAGAAAAGCTAATCTCTTTATTAGAATTTATTTGACCAGCTAATAGACTGTTTTCAGCCAGTGTGTCTGGAATTAGCATCAAATTCCAACTATGCAAAACCAGCCTGATTGTCAAGTAATACAGTTCTGTCTGTTTCATAGGTAGGGCAAAGTTTGGGCAGAAACATAAACTAAATTTCTAGAATAAATAAAAGTTTGGCTTTCAAGCCAGTACATAGCATCATAGAAATTACTATCAAACACTGATGAAGCAATAGACCAGAATCTTGGAGTATGATAGTTTTTTGTTCTCCTTTGTATTTCAGCTCTTTGTATGAACAGTAAACAAGCATCAGACAAGTGATATTTGGTTTTAACATTCAATATTGTACTACCTATATCTGTATTAGAGGACTGATGGAGCTGAGGATATTCCTGGGGAGTAGTCTCAGAACATACCACACTTTGGTAGCAGTGACAATGGGGAATGTTGTTATATCCACTTCAGATTTTGTATAATTATTACTGTGTTATTATTCCAAATACTTGGATTTTTTTCATGGGTTTTATGCAGAGGAAACTTTAGTTGAAAATCTTGCAAGTATGTCCACCAGTGAAAGGATTAAAACAATCCAGAAGATGCCAGAGACCATGAAAAAAAAGAGAGAGATCAGGTAAAAATAAAAATGTGTCTGTTTAGTTTTACAAACATTGTACTTTCAACATCTAAGTATCAAGTGTGAGTGTTTGCCACCTGCTCAGCTTTGGTTTGTCACTTTGAAAGAGCCAAAAGTATTTTTTAATACACTTTTAAAAAGTTAACATCTTGCAAATGGAAATAATTTAAAGATGGTTCATTGTCCTTTCTCTGGATGAGAAGAATCTCATGGCAATATAAAAATCAAGGCCTTGATATTTGATTATGAATGATGACTTATGATTTCTTTTCAGAGGAAACTGGATGTTGGCCACTGAAAACGGAGAAGAGAGCAAATGTTCTCAACCATCCTTTTGTGTCCTCACAGAATATATTGAAGTTTTGTTCCCAGAGTGATATGTAGAGGGATTAGAATATGCTGTCATAGCATGGACAAGAGCCATGGTGTCAGCTACTAGAAAAAGAGCTAACAGAATAGCTCCATATTAACTTTCTTCATATGGATGTGTATGAAACACTATTTCCAGCAGTTTCTTTGTCATCTTGTTGTAATTACAACCCATACCATTGTCATCCCCTGCCCTGCTTTTCCACAGGAATAAAGTTCTTAGAGAAATAACAAAAAAATCAAGGCATCGAAGTACTCAACTTTGCTCCTGCACACAGTGTATGCAGGGAATAGCACTGGTAAGTGTCAAACTCCTGTCAGCCAAAATAGCTGCAATGTTATAACTGTCTGCAGAGGTATCTGGTGTTTGGCTTTATGTTTTATATAAATTTATGTTATTTACCAAAGAAGTGGTTAATTGCTGCAATCTTCGCTAATAACTACTTGCATTATGGTAGCACTTAGGAGCAAGAGTTGGGCATCGTACTGTGCAGATAGTGGGGGAAATTTGTTCTTATTTTAAAATGGAACTGTAAAGAATGTGAAGCTTCATTATGTGAATGTGAGTCCTGTTTAAGGCTGCTTGCTGAGATTGATCTCTCTCCTCTTTTGCACTTCAGTCATTTCGGCGATTTGGAAATAGCTTGTCAGAATATTTTCACCTACTGCAGTTACAGCAGAAGACTCTGAAGGTCATTGGTGCCAAGTTTGGAACAAGTGTTCTGTCTTATTTTATTTTCTTGAAGTGGCTGCTAACTTTCAACATCTTCTCATTCCTCATAAACTTCAGTTTCCTCACAATTCCTCAGTTTCTTGCAGCAGAACCAAATAACCTTTCATTCACGAGTCTAGAGCTGCTCACTGGAGCTGTAAGTATGTAACAGCAGATTTGTATTAATACTGTGTGCAACAGATCTACTTTAAAAAACTCACATTAAAAAGCTTAGTATCTCTTATTATGGAGTTAGAATTTTATGTGACTAGAAACAGTATTCTAGACACTAGAAACAACAGAGTGAGATGAACGGAACTTGTCCTGATGCACTTGTCTCACTGTAAAAAATTGCTGTGTTCAGCAGTATTTCAAGACTTTCATCACTCTTCGAGAAAGCTGCAGCAGAGACATGAAGGAAGGCAGCAATAGCTGCAGTCATCTTCAGCAGGACATTTTTCCCATGCTGATTTTCCTCTGAAAATGCAGTGCAGATTTCCATACGTGATCCTGTGAATTTTGCTTATTTCCAAAGCCGTGTTCTTCCAAGGAGCACACAGATCTCTCTGTGGCAACCTGCTGAATTAAGTGGGGCCTGGAGACAAAAGAGCCTTCCATTGTGTGGAAATCTTTACTTTCAGGGAGTAAAGTCCCAGGCTGTTTTTAAGGGAAGTTTTAGCACTGCTTTAATTCTACTGGCATTCATCAACTAAGTGATCTGAGATTTTTTTATGTCTTTATTGTAAATAACGTTATTTTTACTGTTTTTAAATGATTTCTTTAGTTAGTAAACAAGAGCCTGCTCTTACTAATGCTTAGTTGAGAGGTCTTTTTAAAGAGGAATGGTGTCAGCTTTTTCCTTCTAAAATTGCTTTTAAAGAGCGATGTTTTGTAGTAGTGCTGTTTTGCAAAGTACAATCATTACTGCAGGAGTTCAGCTATGATCTAGCAGCTCTAGTGTTAAATGTTACATGGTTCCTTTATAGTCAGTGCAATTTGTCAGTACAGATCCTTGATCCCAAGAAGGAAGCAATTAAACCTTCCCCTCTTTAGGAATTTTCAGAGAAGAGCAGATCCTTCAAAGACATTGAATGCTCATGATCATACCATATGAATCTTCAGAAGAACAGGAGTTATTTACATATCTCTGGAAGCTCTCAAGTCTATGGAATATTTTAGCTGATAGAAAGAAACAAAGGGCCTGATATTTATTCAGAAACTTATTCACTCCTCTGGTTTCATGTAGGGAATGGGACGGTTCCCACTTACAATAATTGGGCTTCGGATGATGATACTAACCATATACAGGAGATAGCAGACATTCTGAATGATGTCCATGTCTTTTCAGGGTTATTTTCAACAAACAGTACTCTACTATGGCTTTTACACCAATGCTACAATCAGTAAAATAAAGAATGGTCCATCTTACAACATGCAGCTGGCCTATATTTTCACGGTTGGACTGTATTTTGTCATCTGTTTTCTTATCTTGTTGTTCAGGTAAACTAACTATATATTCTTGTTTCACTTATATTGAGGTCATTGGCAATTATAATTACTGGAGTGTTTCTGTAAGTCCTTATTTCAGGTGTAGAGTTTAAGTAGAAGTTTCTGCTCAAAAGACAGTCTCCAGAAATCAAATCTTGTTTTAGACAAACAAAGAATAACTGTGAAATAGTAAGGGACATGCAGAGAATTCCAGTTCAAGCCAATGAATATCATGATACCCCTTTTGTAAGCTGTTGCTCCTAATATCTTCTGGTACTGATGTGGCCTTCCAAAGGTAAAGATTGTCAGCCTTGATTAGAAGGAAATGTCAGAGTTGTTTCCTACATGAACATCTATTTTCTGTTTTGTCTTGTGTGATGTGCTCTGACATAGGTGCAGCAGCCTTGGGGTGGGACACAAAAGCTGATGAATCTCCCTTCTTCCCCTGCTGTGCAGATTTATGTATTTACCCATTATGCATCTCACAAACTCAATTTTCATTGCAGCATGGCAAAGTCCTTCTGCAGGAACTTCATTAACCCTCAGGCATTCCCTGGGAATGCTAGCAAACTTCTCTGCACCTGGGACTTCAATATCACCAATGAAAAAGCTGTGAAGCTGAAACAAAAGAATCTCAGCACACAAATAAAGGTACAAAAAGGTAGAAAGGTACAAAACTCACATGTACAAGTCACTCTGCCAGAGGCTTGTTTCTGCATAGAAATTTGTGTATGTACATGGAAGTCTCTGGCAGAGGGACTCAAGGATGCTATCCCTGTTGCTCATAGATTTAAGGTTTCTTGACTGTTAAGTTTCATTTGATTTGTACTCCTGGAGTTGTCTTAGCTACTTGCTTTTCTTTTCTCTTTAAGCTACATATAAATATTTGTATGCTTCTGTTCTATTGAATGAATGTGACTCTGTGACTGTTAAATATTTGCTGGGCAGAGTATTCTGGTTTTCCTTCCTGCTATTTAACCATGTTGTAAACAAAAGGCACAATAGTAATATCTGTGAAATACAGGGTAACTGTCAAGAGAAGAGACTTTTAGGGTACGAACACAAAGTTGTCTAGTAAATGTTCCCAGGGTATTACTCTGCCCATATTCTAGAGAAATAATCTTTCATTCAGTCTCTCAAGTAGTTGCCTGAAGCAAGTTTTGCTTTATGCTGTTGACTAAGGAATTCTTCATTAGGAATTTTTTCCTTACAGGAAGACCTCTCTGAAGTAAATCGGGAAGTTCTAAGTTTTTCTGTAACAGAGAGAGTTGTTTGCATTGCTATTCATTTTGCTTCGTGGGTCACTTCTCTGGGAACAGCACTAGCTGCTTGTGCTGGTGTTTACTTCCTCTCCACTAATAACCTGAAGGTAAGGACAGATTTTACAGTCTGGTTTTGAACATGGGTATCTTACACTGAGTGCAAGCACTGGTCTGTTCTCCCCCATCATCTGACAGCTGCTTTCCTGGGCTCATGGCTACCTTAGGGTAGCAAGAAGCAGCCTCAGCAAGGCCTGCCTCTCCTTTGCCGAGGAGCTGCATCTAATCTGGGGTTCTCACCCTTGGTCCCATGTAAAATGGGGGAAGGGGAGAGGGTCTCTGTGCTGTTGGACATGGGCCCATAAACCATAATAATCTCTAACTTCCGATCATGCAGGGACATGTGCCAGGGGTCTTCCCTATGGACACAACTTGAGGTAGTCTTTTGGTTAAGGCTCTAAGTTTCGTTTTTTTCCTCTTTAAGCTATTTGTGAAAGGGCATAGAAATGACCTAGAGAGCCAAGCTGCCATGTTGGTGCTACCTGTTGTCACATCTGTCCTAAATGCATTCATCCCATTCTTCTACTCATGGCTTGGACGCCTGGAAAGATTTCAGACTCCTGGACAGCATGTATATGTCACTATTGCCAGGTATTTTTTGCTACCACCTCTTAGTGCTTTTTGCCTGAAGTTGCCTGACTCTTCTTTTTGATAGCAATTTGTGTGTAGGTGATGTGGTGGGTAGTAAGGAGCTATGGAGGAGAATTCATCTTCTCCAAAGAGCTCTGTACACCAGAGAAAGGAAGGGGGAAAAGGAGTGATGAGATCTTACTTAAATACAGGTGCCTGAAATTAACAGTGTGTAACTGCTGGTGCTCTTCAGGCCTTCCTCCCCTGTGGAGCCCACACACCCAGCCAGCAGCCTCTTTTGCAGAGGCTGTGCCAAGGTTGTCATGCCCAGTTCCTTTTCCATCAGGACAATAGAATAATGCTGTGCTTAAGATTTGAGGAGAGTTCCTGTTGGTCCTGGCACTCTGCAGTGCTATTCTTGTTATAAGAGAATGTAATAGAGTGTAACTGATGATCATCCTGCCATCATTCCCTCCAGTGAGTTTATGGACCACCTGTCAGTGCAGTTACTGTTACTTTCTCTTTTCAGAAGTATCATCCTGAAAATATCAATTGTTGGAATTCTGTGCTATTACTGGCTTAACATTGTGGCTGCATCAGAATCACAGGTAAAGTTTCAGAAATACAAATCTTTGATTTACAATGCCAGGTTAAGAACCATTTTTGCAAGAGGCTTAATCCAGCAAAGAGAAGTGCATGTAGTGTCTGGGGAAGCTGAATTTGCCACCCCAACATTTTTTTACTTATCATCTCTAGATAAATTAACTGTAGGAAGAAAGTCTCCCAACTCAGGTCTCAGCTGTTTTGGAACATTTTTCAACGAGAGTTCAACTAGGATGGGTCAAGCTGTTAGCAAATCTTTGGCCTGTAGCTCAAGTTTCATATGCCCAAGCATTTGGGAACAATCTTAAAAGCACATTATTTTTGACTTCTAGATAAGCATTTTTAATGTTCTTTTTTTCTTTCCTCCTGCTTCTAAAAGTGCTGGGAAACTCTGGTTGGCCAAGATATCTATCGTCTTATTGTAGTTGACTTCATCTTTTGTTTGCTTGGCTCTTTCTTTGGAGAGTTTTTACGAAGGTGAGTACTGCTTTTCTGATCTTGTGCTCATTTGTTAACCAAAGACATGCTCTTTTTTTCCAGCATGAGAAATGCAGTCTAACAGAAGCATGAAACTTCCTTGGCTGCCTTTACCCGGCATAGCCTCTGATACTTGTCTTCTGTATGTTTCAGCTCCTTCTTAGGAGGAGGTCAGAGTGTATACTGTTAAACTTCCCCAATGTGTCCTTCTTTTTTTGGAGGTGGAAACACAAGTAGGGAGGAAGCCACATTGTACTCCCATGCCTCTCCTGAATGGGGTGACAAAGAACCAAACGCCTCAAGCAGAAAAACTTGTTTTCTGCATATGCCCGGGCACACTGCTGGCTTTCTTTAGTATAGCCTCCTGTAATGTTTTTCCTTTTAGTTATGTTCTCTATAGAGTGCACACAAATTAACAATCTTATTTTAATCAGTCTTATTAAGGACAAAGTGTGACTCTTAAGTGTAGAGGTCTGTAGCATGGTAAATGAGAAAGTATTGTTAACTGAACATGAATACAGATAAGCATTGTAACCAAGAAGTAATTTACTTCTGACATCTGCTGGGTATACCCTTCTGTTGCCAAACATTACTTCTGACTTAAGGTAGTAAAGTATTTGAGTGCTTGCCAGCTTTATGAGCATTTTGAGTTCCTGGCCATACTTGTGTAGGAGATGCATTGTTTGCCCTTCGCACATGATGTGAACAGGGTAGAACAGTTAGTTAAAAACTTCATGTTAAATTAACACAAAACAACATTGAGAAACCCTTGAAGACTTTCCCTCCACAGCTCTTGCCAGCGAACTTTAATCCTACTCCTGTTTTTGTTCTGTTCAGATAGGAAACCACCTTTCAGTGAACAGCCACAGTACCAAAACTGCAGTGTCAGCTGTGATGAATGTCCTCACTGAGCTGTGCAAAAGCACCAGACTTACAGCTGTGAAAGATTAGAAGTACAATTGCTTGTATTTATGACGCAGCTGATAAGGCCACAGCAAGACCTGTATTCAGGGAGAGATGGGATAGCTACCAAAATCTTTATTGTTCTTGCTATGACAAGCAGAAATTGAATCTCCCCAGCTCAGGAAAAAAAATAGATGGTAAAAACAGATGGTTGGTCCTCAGTAGGAAGTCTCTGAGTACTTGCTTACCTGTGTGTGTCTCAGCTGCTTGCAACCTCAGTTAGTGTGAAGTAGGATATACGATGAGTATCAATCCAAAAGATTCATTTTTTTTGACTGATTGAGGCTGAAAATTCTGAGGACTCAGCAACTGAAAAGCTGTTGCAATTTTGTACTGAGGCAACTTGCCGTTTGGACTGTTTAAGCACGAGCATACCTTTCTGATACACTTAACAATCTTTTTTTTTTTTTTTTTGAGTTGCTTGAACAATACCCTAGGTCGTGTTCCAACCCTGCTGTATGTTATGGGAACCTGATTTTTCCCAATTCTGTCTCATTTTTAATGAGCTGTTTTATCAGTAAGCTGTGGCTGCTTTGCATGATGTGATTAATGCAGCCCCTAAATAATTTGTCCTTGATTCTTGCATTCAGGAGGCCTTCTGTAGATTTTTCTACAAAGGGTTTTATGATGTACTAAATGCTATCATGCTGTGGTGGTGGTTTCTCCTTCCAGAATTCTTGGAACTACAGTTTGTGTGAGCCTGGGGCTGCCAGAGTTTGATATAGGACGAAATGTTTTAGATTTGATCTATGCACAGACTTTGACCTGGTAAGTGTTACATTTACAGACAAAACCTCATTTGCACTTAGAAATACCATGGAACATTCTTACTCTTGACGCTTCTGGATGTTTCCCATCACAGGGGAAAGAATAGGATACATGCTGAGGGAGATGACATACTAACTATCTTTATAAGGATTGTGACATGCCAGTTCTCTTGTAATTGTGCAGGTATTACCAATAACTTTACCCAATAGTTTGCCCTGTGGTCACTGGTGTTGGAGAAACGCATAAAAGGGACACCCTAGCTTTGTTTACTTCCCCATTGGAATGGTGTTCCTGTTGAAATAGTCTTGGTATTAAACCCTGGAAAACATGCCTTATTTCTAGGAATGAGTATGTTACTCCTATTACAAGAGAGTTTTGCAGGCATGTACATAGACATGTATGTTTGAAAATGCATATTTTAAAGGTTGACTTCTGTTACAGGATCAATGTTAATAACAATACTATTGATGATTACCTTTCTGAATAACCGAACTGTAACTGTATGTTAATTTACTGTGATATTCTCTGCTTTCAGTGCACTGAGAGCTGGGTGGTGAATAGTGAAGGTTTAACTTTCTTATAAATCCTTTCTTGTAGGATTGGTATCCTCTTCTCACCTCTGATGCCCGGTATCCAGATAATATCATTTTCTATAGTATTTTGTGTGAAAAAGGTAACAGGATTTACATGTATTCATCATAAACTGACAGAGTTTGAAATCTGGGCAGAATGTATAGTGTTAAAGTGCTGGTTCTGTCTGGAGTCTCTGGGGTCTTGTATTTAGGGGAGCAGGATTTTTGGCTGGGTTTTGGAGGGTGGAGTTTGCTTTAAAGGAACACAATTTAGATTCAGGCCCTTGAATTTCAAACTTGTAGTAAACTTGGGAGAGGGGAGAAGTGTGGAAGGGTTAAGGAGGGGTTATTGGAAGGGTTATAGGAGGGGTTAAGAGCTCAGTTAGAGAGAAAAGGGAGAGAATAAAGTAAAACTAAAGGCTCAAGAATTAATAAGGTACAAGTGCATATGTCAGTATAGACATTTAACCTGTGGCTGTTGTTTTGGCTTCCTGCTTACTTTCCTACTCCCCACCGGTGGCCTTCCAAGTTACCTAAGCGTAAGCAGAGTGGTTCAACCAAGGATCATAATGGAATTTTTTTCTTTTCAGAATTCTTTGTCTCAGTAGTATGACTAGATGATAGATCAGTTGCTGAGTCACCCAACAGTTTATGGTGTTGCACGTAGCTATAGCTAGAAAGAGCGGTTCAAAATTCAGAGAAATACAGAATGGTTTGTGTTGGAAAGGACCTTAAGGGCATCTAGTTCCAACCCCCCTTCCATAGGCAGGGACACCTCACACTAGACCATATTGCCCAAGGCTCTGTCCAACCTGGCCTTGAACACCACCAAGGATGGAGCATTTACCACTTCTTTGGGCAACCTGTACGAGTGCTTCACCACCCTCACAGTAAAGAACTTCTTCCTTATATCCAATCTAAACTTCCCCTGTGTAAGTTTTAACCCATTACCCCTTGTCCTATCACTACAGTCCCTAATGAAGAGTCCCTCCCAGGCATCCCTATAGGCCCCCTTCAGATACTGGAAGGCTGCTATGAGGTCTCCACGCAGCCTTCTCCAGACTGAACAGCCCCAACTTTCTCAGCCTGTTTTCATAAGAGAGGTGCTCCAGACCCTGATCATCCTCGTGGCCTCCTCTGAACTGATCCCAACAGCTCCATGTCCTTCATACACTGAGGTCACCAGAAGTGTACACAGTATTCCAAGTGGGGTCTTATGAGAGCATACTAGAGGGGCAGGATCACCTCCTTTGACCATGTCGCTGTCAAAACTCATATTCCCTAAACTATGGGTTTACATATGCTACAAAAGCAAACTACCCAGCAGAGTCCTGAAGAACCCATCTTTTTGCCTCTTACTACTTAAAGATGATATTCTTGACATTTTTTACAGTTTATCTGTCATAGTCTTATAAAAGAAGGTATTGGAAACTTTTGATACACACTATTCCAGAAACTGCTGCCAGCAGTTTCAATGGGATTGACTTAAACTGAGTTGTTGTGGCAGGTAACACCATTCTAACGTAAGTGTACCTTCATCTCTTTAAAGGTCAGTCTAATGATGAATTGCCAACCCCCTCGCAAAGTCTGGAGAACTGCTCAAATGACAACAACCTTCATGTTCCTGCTGTTCTTCCCTTCCTTCCTGGGAGTACTGTCTGTCATTGGAGTCACTGTCTGGAGGTGTGAAAGACCACTGGCATTCAAGCCTGCTACGCTATGCTGTGTGACCTGAGACAATGCAGAATAACCTGTGTTTTTCTGTTCATAAAGCTGTATTATTTGCTAATGGAAGGTTTCAGATGTTCGTGAGCTGTTCTGTGTTCTGAAAACAAGACATGCTCAGTGAGTTTGCAAGAATGTGGTTAACACATAAGAAAGTAGGAGGAGAAACAAGGTTACATTGAAGTTTTGGGTTTTATTTAAATGGCACAGCAAATTTGGCTTTTCCTCCTGCTTAAAGGTTTCTGTGACTTAGTCCTAGTTCCTGAGCTTATTTATGTTATAGGCCATACTGGGCCTGCAGTGGAAAAGCAGCTGGAAAAACTCAATTGAGGTAAACTTCTGGATTATTTGTGAACTTCAGGGACTCTCTTTGCAGTAAGTGCTGACCTCTGCAGTAATGCACCTTGGTTGTTGCCAGGAGTTTAAAGCTGCTTTGTTTACCTGCACATCACTGGCCACAGTAAGGAGAGCAGCATGGCTACCCCTTTTCTTTTTCCTGGCAATTCTCAGCCACATGGTTGTGATGCTTAGTAAGGCAGGTGACTACACATGAAACCAGGTGGGACGTAGTACTTCAGAGCAAACATTTTCAGATTGCAAGTCAGAATTTCAGGCTGTCTGCAGCAGTTGAGTTTCAAAGCAAACAACACTTTCCTATTCCAATCTACCTGAAAATGTTAATTCTTGCTATAGGCTGCCTTACTTCAACGCATGACTTGTTGCATTTATGTCAAGGGCTTGGTACCTGTCCATAGCAGCAGGGTCTCTTATCTTTCACTGCATAGTCTGGGGTGGGCATTTCAATGGCTGGAGAGTGACCCAAGTTAAAAATCAAACAGAGATCATGGAAGTTCCTGGGGGGTCCAAAGACAGCAGTGGGCTATAGCAAACTAATGAGCATCTTAATGCACAAAATCACAATGTTAACTAAATCACTGGTCAATATATAAAGCTTTAAGTAGCTGTTTTCTTACCCTTTCAGGTTAAAACCTTCAGAAGAATGTGGTCCTTTCAGAGGTTTGTCTTCTATGTATGCTGCAGTCTCCGAGTGGATAGCAATACTGGAAAATTATACTGCCTCAAAATGGGTAGTGTGGATCTACCATAACTTAATTACAAGTGAAATTTTCTTCTTCGTCCTATCCACTTCTATCCTGTAAGTACCTGCTAATGAAAAGCACTGGAAAAGGACCTGAAGTGGAAAAAACTGCCTATGACATAGCCATTCTTCATTAAAATAAGTTCAAGGTCCATTTTAAAGTATCAGAAATGGTTAATATATTGGAAATTCATGTATTTGAAGTACATATTCCTTTTATGTTGGGGTGACAAAGCTCTTTACAAACCAGCTTCATGCTAACCCTAGGATACACTGTTTTTAACTGAGTATTTCTTGTTTATTGTGCCTAGGCAGATCTTACTACCACTGGCACACTTTGCCTTAGGAACATCAGTGAAGAGAAACATGTTGCATAGACTTGGCAGCATAGATTGCATTTCTGGGTTTTTTTCACCATTGCTTTTTTAGTTTCTTCCTTCCTCATTGCGTCATAAATCAGCAGGGAAAAGCAAGCTTTCACAAGCACAGCCAGTACAGGTCAAATGTATACTAGGACTCTGAGCAACATAAAAAGCAGAAGTCTGGGAGGTGGTTGCTTTGACTTTTCTGACCATTTCTCATCAGTGGAGTCATTAGAGGAGATGATAGCATGTAAAGGATAGCTGAAATACCAGAGGCACACTGTGGTGGAAGGGCTTAGTAGTGCACAAACATGGGGAAATGCTATTAAGTAGGTTGCAGTCTGCTTCCAGCTAATCTCTGGTAAATTCACGTACTGTCTACTTGGCTGAAGTATATTATTTTGGCAAACCCAGTATGTAGGTTTGATGGTGTAGCTGTGCTGCCTGGTTTTTCTGGTATAGGCCAGACACACTGAAGAACCCAAACCTGCCCTGATGAAACCAGATCTCACTCATTCTGGTGGGACCAAGACTAGCCTGGAAGTAGTAGGTGTTCAGTGTTGTGATTTAGAGTCCAGGCATATATGTAAGCAAGTGACAAAAAGTTGGATAAGAGCATTAGGCTCCTATTTGTTATCTGAAATGCACCTTGTATTTTTTACTTACTTTAATTGTACCTTTCATTCAAATACAGGTCCACAAATCTTTGGGTCTTTTCCAAGAGAATGTTTTAAACAACTTCATGTGTTTGCCATTCCTTGTGTAAATGTATACATCTATTTTTTAATACATGTGGGTGTATGTGTGTATATATATATATGTATATGTGTATATATGTGTGTGTATCTATAGATAATAGAATCATAGAATGGGCTGGGTTGGAAGGGACCTTAAAGATCATCTGGCTCCAACCTTCCTGCCATGGGCAGGGGCTATATATGTGTGTGCTTGTGTGCATTTCTTAATAGATACCACTCTGTTTTGGCAGTGACTAGGAGGGAATACTCATGGGTGGGAGTGCTCATATGCTGGACTTTTTTTTAATATAATTTTTTATTTTTTAGAGTTATTGCTTATCTTTACTGGCAAATAATAGAAGGAAGAAAGATCATGATCAAACACTTACATAAGCAAATTATTAATGTAAGTTTGACTTTCAGCTTTATCTGTTTAAAAAAACTTGGCTTCCTTGTTGATTGTCTCATGACACAATCAGTGCTATTGTGGAGCTGTGATCTGCTTTTCCTATGACAGGGCAAGGGGGGTGGGAGCCCTCCCCCATGGGAGCTGCAGGGAAACTCAGAGTTGTTGCAGAACAATTTTATCCTCAAGCTGTGCTGCTGCAGCTCCCTCTGTAGATGGATTATTTTAGCATAAAAGGAATTGTAATGATTATTGTGGTCAGTGGTTGCTTACGGGCCTTGAGCTAATGATCAAATGTGTCTTGACCACAGGGAGGAAAAGATAAAGTGTTTTTACTTGAAAAACTACGGGCACTGCAAATGGCAAAGCAAACCCCACGTGCACCAGGAGGACAAGGCCAGCAGGTCAGTCTGATAGTTTAGATACCATCTCAGTCATGTGCTTGGTGCAGTTTCATGGGGTTCCTCTAGCCTTGCAAACAGACTGTCGTGCTGGGATTTGCCTGTATTTGAAGTTTCATGTAAGTTGATTGACAGCTAATTAACTCCATGCAGGAAGAGGATACCATGGAAATTGCCTAACTATGTGTTCCAGATTGGAATTCAGCCTGGGAAGAATATAGAGAAGTTCTTACCCTCACTAGACATCATTTATGATTGTGAAACTGCAAGAAAGCAGTCCTCATCTAGGAGTGCAGTGGTGGTCACTAAAGGGCTTGACCACATTTGAACCTTGCCTAGACTGAGAAGGAAGCTGCTTTCCTCCCCTGATTCTATTTCCTTAGGGTTTCATGGTTTGCTCCTCCACCCAACCTTTTCAGCTGAGGTAAAACTTGAGTGCTTTGACCTAACCCCATTTTAAATCCCATACAACGTCAAGATAGGTGCATAATGTCTTAAGCTTGAAATTATTTTTCAAGTCAGTCCCGCCTCCTGAGCCACCAAGTTAGTGTTAAAACATGCACATTTAGGTGCTGTGAAGTGTGGTTTTCATTTGGATTGAGTGAAAACTCTTTGACCCTACATACTGCTGAAGAAAAAGGGTTTTTTCAGTTCCTCTCCTTTCTCCCCATAAAACATATCCCCTGGTATGACTGGCTGTCATTAATGTGATGATACAAATAAAGGTAAATAAGCTTTGGTAATAATTGGCATTGATATATTGATAAACAGCAATACATACGTGCTAAGACAAACAAATACAAATCAATATTGACTGTAAAGAGGGGACCGTAAAGTGAATGGCCATTCTCTGTCTGCTGGGGATTTTCAAACACTTGACAACCCTGTGGCTGCATCCAGGAGTCCTACCTGGGACCCTGAGGGCAGGGTTTGCTACAAAATATAGATGTCCTTGTACTAATTAAGGTCAGATTTCAAAAGGAGATGCCAGAATAATCTTATTGTGGTTCTAATAGAAGAGCCACCTCCCTAGAACAAGGGTCATAGCCTTGGGTGGCTGTAAAGTCAGGACTGGAAGCCAGACCATAGTGCCGCTAATGCAGCTGTTGTGTCTTTCAGAGAAGCTCTTCTTCATACCACCCATCTTGGCAGCCTGCCCAGCAAGTGCCAGGCTACCCAGAAAGGGCATTTAACAGAAACCAAAATGCATCCTACAACGAGGTGAGATGGTCAAAAGCAGAAATCTCTGCTAGGTTTTCCTATATAGAGCCTGGGGCAAGATGCAGCAAGGGGTGTATGTTGAACAAAGAGGTTATCTTGTATGCATAGAAGTAATTTTAAAGATTAATTTGAGCAAAATGTAATCAGAATAGCTGTTGGAATACTCATACAAGCCTGCTTAAGATCTAGAGAGTGTGGTTGTGTTATAGCTAACCAGGATCTTTAAGTACAAGATAAATGGCACGTGAGGAAAACATCAATCTCAATATCCCTGTGAATTTTGTTTTCAGTATCCCTATGCTGCTGGGATCTTGAGGGGAACTGGCTTCCCACAAGGTAAGCAACAAATGCTGAACACAGCAAGCAGCTCGTAGAAGCTCAGCTCAGTGAAAGTGTTACAGTACAGACACCGCTCATAACAGATGTAGGAAAGGCAGGATTTTAGCATCTTGTATGAAGAGAAAACAAAAAGACTGGGGGTTTGAGGTAAATATTTCCTATAGGGTGTGCTTGTTGTGGTGTTGGTGGTGACTTCTGAAGACTGATCACAAGCTTCTGTATCCCAAAGTGTTGAATTTCTTTGGGTAAATGAGATGTTTTGTCATATGGGAGCAGCCACAAGCAAGAATATTACATCACATTAGATGTTTTATATCTTGGTGTGAACCTCATCAGAGGCTATTAATGATGTAGAGTCCCTAGGACACGGTATGTCCAGAACATAAAAAAGCTACGGAAACTCAGTGTGGTAGGTTGAACTATTCCTGGTTTACACAAACATGTAACTGCATTCCAAATACAGGGCAGATGAGACATTTCAAAAGCATGGGGCACTTCAGTGGGGGTGGTTAGTGTAGTGACAACAGCACAGTTAATGTTACTTCCCCTGTGACAAGCAGGGCTGGAAGGAGGCCCATACAGCAGTGGGCCCTGGATGTCAGAGGCAGTGGTGATCGCTCTGCAGGCCAGAGAAGCAGCTCAGTGGGAAGACGAAGACGATGACACCTATCCTTGACTGCGAGCCAGCAGAATCAGTAATGAACAGTGAGCGGTGCTCTGCAGAAAGCAGTGCTCGATTGCACTATAAGGACTGTGAACCATTTGCGCCTTTTTACTCTTAAATGGAGGAAAAGAACAAGAGAACAGATGGAAAAATGCATCCTGACTGGAGTTTATTATTGTGATGGGGAATATCCTGTGTGTTTTGTTTGAAGTAGGGATACTGTGCTGACAGCCTTCTCCAGGACTAGCTCACACTCTGACACTGTAAAGATCCCACCACAGAAGTCACTTGCTCTTGACTAAAGAGAGGAAACTTGTGCCTAATTGTAAATAAAGCTTTGTTCCAAAACTATTTTTATAACAGTTATATTGTTCAAACTGCTTTTATCTAATCTAAGCCAAAAGCAATGCATTGGCCAAATAAAAATAGAAGGAAATTAAAGTGCAGTTGTTTTTAATGCTGAAGACATTGTAATGGCTGCAAAGTAATTTGTGTGAACCTCTTTGTTTCTATTCCATTTGCACTTTCCTGAGCCATTGTTATAGCTTATTACAGACATTAGAAGTTATCAAACCCTTTTTTAAAGAGTGATTACTCATCAGAAGTCTCATGTGTAAAACCACTGCTTGTAAACAAGAAGTTTATACATCCTTTCCTGTAAAGGGTAGATTGGAAGTAACACAGGTGAGAGTTTCTTTATCATGTATGCCTTTGAGACACTTGATGCAACTTCTTTTTATCCAGAGGCACAACTTTGCTCTGGTGATAATTTTTTGTTTGTTTTTTAGCCCGTTTTCTACTACTTCCTGGTTTATTCCTCTCTCATTGCTTTAGACATAAAAATGCCTTAGGGAAGAGGCACATCTTGCTGTCAGGCTTGTAATTTGGGTGAAAGAATCCAGAAACAGCCACGAAAGGTACAGAAAAAAAAAGATGACCTTTATATACAATGTGAGACCAGAGGTTCAATTGTATTTAATATGTTTTTCTGCATGCAGAGCTCTGGAATCTGGTTGTGACTATTGATGAACTTAAGGTCCTTTCCAACCCTAACTGTTCTGTCATTCTGTGAAATGGGCCTGGTGTTTGCACCTAGGACAACGACTTCAGTGCCAGCAACTCATATAGCAATGGGCACTTGGCCTCCTGCCGGCTGCTCAGGGAGTGCCTGTAGAACATAGCAGCAGAGGCAGAGGTCACAAGCATAGCATACGTGTGTGATAGGATGTGCACCAGGAGATGAGGTGTGGTGGTTCTGCAGTGCAGGGTAGATGAGGGACATAAACCGAAGAGGGTCCTGTCTTATCCTGCCATTAAAAATCAGCTCCTTACTCCTATGTTTCTTTATGCTTAGCTATAGCTAAAGGTACAAGCAAAAGAATCCATCACCCCTTGCAGAAGGCAGCATTAATTTGCTGCTAATTCAGAGGTTTGGACTTACCTTAATTGGGACAATTGTGTAGTTCTTTCTACCAATGACTGATTTCTACTGTTTTTTTAATTACACTTTGTCTCTTTTCTAGGCAAACCATCTTTTATAGAAGTTTTTTTAAGAGTTCCAGTTGGCTCTTCTAACCATGAGGCAGGCTCTCAAGAGCATTTATATCCAAAGTACAGTACCCAGCTGCACCCCCAGTCTGCTGTTCCATTTCTGGGAAAGGCAGCTTTCCCCTAGCACCTTGCAAAGTGCTCACCCAGTGCACAGTTGCAGTGCCTCCCCTGAAACACAGCAGTGCCCAAACAGGGAAACGGTGAATTCAACACCACCGAAGCAGCACAAGGAACTACCTTACCCAAATGTGGTTATGCTTCCTGGTCGAATGTGTACATTACTACATGCAGCCAACAGTGTCTTGTGAGACTGCATCTGAATAGCCTGCAGCCTATAACAAGTTAAATGCTCAAATTCCTCATTTCCATTGAAATTAGTATTACATTCTCCTGAAACAAAATCATTAAACTTAGTAACTCCATGTGTTGGCCGTGAAGAAAAGGTGGTCTCATTTATGGTAGGGCTGGCTGCACAGGAATTTTCTACTCTTTTTAAGCATTGACAGTCTTCTCTAACCACCAGTTCCTTCCAGAGCAGAGCCAAAATTGTTCACTGCATGCTGATGGGAACACCTGGGGTTTTACATGTTAGAACAAACAGCACACAACCTGCGCTGGCTTTGATGGCTTACATCAATCTGCTGCTGTGCAGCTGATAAAGAGCAACATAACCGTGAGTTATCAGATTACTTGTTTATTGGGACTTTTGATTTCAAGTTAAACCTGGGTTACAGTTTCCCACATATCTTTGTGTTTGCCCTTCAATCATCCAAACAATAAGGAAAGTTAAAAGACTCTCGTTTGTTCTACTGCTTCCAGTACTCAATACATAGCTTTCTTTAAATAAATACATTCATATTCTGTGTCATTAGAAGAAACAGCCTTCTATCCTCCCTTGGTTCTTTAAAAAGTGTGGAAGATAGACAGCTATTCAAGTTTTATTCATTGATTCTCACAGTCTACACACTGAACACTGAAATTTGGCTTGCTTTTCCGGGTCAAAACACAGCACAGGCATCTTCCTGTGCAGCAGGAGGGAAACATACGCATGCTGTACTTGGCACCATTATTTTCAGGTTCTGTTTTAAGAACAGTAATGTAGATGTTTTTAAGATACCATAAATCAATCTCATATTATTATACAGTTGTAGAACAGGCTGTTTAAATTACAAAAAAAAATAAAAAATCAAGATACGACTTTAAAACTTGCCACCAAAAATTGCTGATTTGGATTCATAATCAAGAGCTGAACAAAGCAAAGGAAGAGTCTGAGAATCACAAAGCAACAGGTCGCTTGTCAAACTGGATCCCTTTATGTTAGAGCGTCATTTACTCAGACTGCATGTCCCTGTACCTTGTCTTTCCCTGGCGTTCCATCAGAGGGTTATTGCATTTGGGGTCTGACCACAGAGCAGAAGTACAGAACTGCCACTGGTGATCCCATCTGTGCTAGTGGGTACCCTCCTGACGGGGAGTTCAGGCTGCCCAGGCAAGAGAGCTTACTTCGGGTGGTGTGTGCGCAGCACAGGTCTAATAATGAGGTTCACAGTCCTCCACCAAGCTGTCGGTGATGTAGTTGGATTCAAGGACACTTTCGTAGTAGCTTTTTTCTGCAAACGTGTTCACTGTCCAGGCAACCACCTGAATCCCTTTTGAAGACCAGTGCCTCACGTAGTCTCTGCAAGGAACAAGGACACCGTAAGAGGAAGCACTACCATATTTAAGGCAGACAGTGCTGAGGCTACAGCTGAGTTTTAGTCTCACACCGGTTATCACATCAAGAATGACAGTGCATCCTTTTGCAACGTCATCTTTTTGTGTTTTATTACTGTAAAAAACAAAAGCAACAATTTTTCCTCCCTTTACACATAAAGCATAAAATAAAAATACAGACTAAAGTGATAGAGGCTTAAAATAATAAAATAGCTTGGAGTAAAGGAATTATTCAAATAACCTTACACAACACTGAACGGAACACATTGATTAGCATGTACTATGTTAACTCCATCCTTCTATACTAACAGAATGGTAATAACCTCCCAGTATGTTAGGAAGCTTAACACTTACTGAGAAACAAAATCTTTCTGCACGAGGAGAGCTGAAACCCCACACAATCGCCATAAGAAACTGTGTAAGCTCCAATCTAGAATGACATCCAGCATCATATACAAGTGATGTTTCCAAGAGGAACTGAAACGGGGTGTCCCATCTCCAAAATGACTCAGTTGCCAAGGCCTGTGTGTTAGTGCTGTTACAACATTTCTGTCAGCTTGTCTCATCTGGAAGATGAAGAAGAAAAGACTCTAATTCATACAAAACCCAAGCTGCATTAAATATGAACTTTGAGAGGTTAGATACAAAGTGCTAGCTTGCATTTGCAGCTCTCCCCTTCCCCTCCTGATCCTTTTGTCACTCTTTCAGAAAGCTGCTTATGGTATTTCACTGGCTGTTTTTTTTTCTTCAAAACGTACTGAATAAACAACAGCTTTAACGTTAAAAAACTGCGTAAGAGGTCATGGAATAAAATACACAATAAATGGACAGGGCAAGGAGAATTAGGAAGCAGTTTTAAGAATAGTCTACACTTCCATAAGAACATGAGGTCTGTTTAACAGGTCTCTTGTGCACAGATACCTGGCCACATGCCAACTGTAAAAGCGATGCACCTTTTTCTACACAGCTTTCAGGATGGCCAGAGTTGGTGTAGGTTCCTATGTGCATCTAATGAGCACAGAGTGATCCGGTAACATTATACATTACAGAATCATAGAATCAGCTAGGTTGGAAAAGACCTTCAAGATCATCAAGTCCAACACTGGACTTGATGGCAATGCCAGCACTGCCAAGGCCACCACTAAACCATATCACTGAGGGTTTCATCTACACCGTTTGTGAACACTTCCAGGGACGGTGACCCCACCACTGCCCTGGGCAGCCTCTTCAAATGCCTGAGCACCCTCTCTGTGAAGAAATTCTTCCTAATCTCCAATTGAAACCTCCCCCGGCACAACTTGAGGCCATTTCCTCTTGTCCTGTCACTTGTTACTTGGGAGGGGAGACCAGCCACCTCCTCACTCCACCCTTTGTTTAGGCAGTTGTAGAGAGCAACAAGGTCCCCCCTGAGCCACCTCTTTTCCAGACTAAACGTCTACTTCATTCACTTTCAAAAGTCTTGGCAATTTTAACAACCCCAATCCTGAACTGCAGTTGTGTACCTAACAAATTCCAGGCAAAACTTAAAAAACCCCAAAGTAAACATTGAGGAAACATCACCTTATACACAACATCTGGCATGAAAGAACAGACTATGCTGCTGTTGTACAAAGATGGAAACTCCAGGTAGAGCTGTTTCAGGGCATCAACTGCCTGCCAATTGGAGAGACACTCAGGTGTTATATCTATACATACACCCATATACGCACTGCAAAGTCCTGTTAGAATAATCCCCTTGAAAAATACTTGTGTAGCAATATGGAAATGGAAAGTGGGGAGAAAAAAATGGAGTATTGTTTATAGCTTTAACACAGAAATGACATTTTAGTTTTTGCAACCTAAGCATGATTCTGTCTACAGTAGTGAGTAGCATTCTTAGTGTTCACAATACCCTTAAATATATAGCGGATAAAATGAAGCACACCTAGAGTTTATTTCAAGGGGATTTTTTTTTCCTCCATATTTTGCTATGATAGAGAAAATATTCCAATTTGCATAGATTTTTAATGATTGATCATTTTTATCTGCCTTCAGTAACACAAATTACACACAAGAGCAGGATCCCTAGTTGGAGGCTGAAGACAAGGTACTAACTCCCCTCAGCACAGGCTGGGAATTCACTTTGCTTTGTTTCGTGGTGGTGGTGTGAGCTGAACTCAACACTCACACAAGTCTCATGCTGATTTTAAGTTGCAGCTTCCCTGGACAATGGAATGGGACGAGGGAACATGTCTTTGCTTTGACAGCCCAGCTTTGGATGACACAAACAGCAGACCCAGTCTCATTCATTAGAGAAGGGACTGCCCCCCACATCAGTTTGAGACCAACAGAAAAGCAGGTTAGAAACCCAGAGAAAAGGTGAAAAAAGGTGTCTTAGTACAGCAAGTAGTACCTGATTTGCATGGCCTTTGACATCGAAGTAGATTATAAGATTGTGCTGCATAGACTCCACGACAGCTTCTCTCAGAGTTGGTACCTTTTCACCTTGGAATTTGCTCCTGCAGAGACAAAGAACTTCTCACTGGAATGCAGTCAAGATACACATGTGCACACATATGGGCACACAGCTACACAGGGCTGTTTCCTAGGGCCTTCTGACTTCACCCTGCTGTGCCTGTGTCCCTAGCCCTGAGCCAGAATCACAGATCCTGGCGGAATAAGCCAGACAAAACGAGGATACAGGAGAAGCAGTTTCACATATCCATAAATTATTTCTGGTAAGGTGACAATACGCAGCAGCTGGTTTGTGGTAACTGCCTATGTGGAAGTTCTGTCTGTGTGGTTCAGGTGATCACCTTCCCAGTAACAGATGGCGAGGATGCTACTTGAACTACAGACTCACAGCTGGTACATTTACAAGAGCCTGGAAATGCCTAATGCAGTGTCTCAGGAGCACACACTAAAAGCTCTTCCTCTAAAAAGGCTTCACTTATAATACTGTATCAGTTGCATTGTTATCAAAATGTTAGTAACATAAAATACTTTCTCCTGCACATACTGGAAAGGACCTAATCACGACTCCTGCCTGAGGCTACCCAGGAAATCTGTCTGGCTCTTTTTCAACAGGATAATCCTGATGTTTATAATCCCTAAGACACAATCATTCAAGAAATAAATGTGAATAAAATTAATTTTAGAAGTAATTACTCAAGCCAATTTTGACGTATCTTGAAACTCCCAGTATCGCTGGTGTCCTGCACTCAGTTTAGGGGAAGCTTATGTATAGATTAACCTGTTTCACCTTAGATGGCTGTGGATTTTATCCTTGAAAGCCAATTATCTTGACTCTGCTCCACTGTTCTGATTGCCAGGATACGTAAAGAGATATAGCCTCATACACCTCTAAATTCAAATCAGAAGCAGCATACGGGACTCATTTTTAAATTTACAGAAGCTTTCACCAGTGATAGAGCAAATCAATAATTTTCTTTACCAAGAATATTAGTTTTCCCTGTTGAAACAGTAGTTTCGGAACAGCAACAGTTCAGTTACCGTAGCCTGTGCTTTGCAGATGGATTAAGCCTCCTAATTTCCTCAAAAGTCAAGTCACGCAATCTTCCAGAGCCATCAGTTGTCCTTTCCACTGTTTCATCATGCATTAGGATGGGAACCCCATCTGCAGTAAATTCGAGATCCAGCTCAACACCCGTTGCTCCATTCTCAGCTGCCTTAAAGAAAAAAGAAGAAACAAAATCACATGCACAACAGGAGACAGCTTTATAGATATTGAATATAGGCACAGATATAATTAGTTTGTGTTCTCACAAAAAACAAAACAAACAAAAAACAACAACAACAAAAAAAAACCCCCAACCTAATAATGTTTATTCAGCAAGCTTGACCTGTGGAACAAAGTAGGTTTTATCCAAGTTATTGTGAGAAGCATTCATAGATCAACTGAAAGCATATAACTTATTTTACCAATAAAACCACAGTGCTAATGTCTCAGTCTTGGGACTGAGGCTGTTTCAAGATAAAAATGCAGAAAAGAATCCTGCTTTCTCCTTCTGGCCTAATAACCCATGAGTCCCTAAGTTATGTTAATTTCAAAGAGAGAAGGGAAGCAAATGCCCACACTTTAGATAATTTATGGATTGACACTTGGAAGCCAGAGTCAGAGCAGGCCACCAGAGCATAGTGTCTGATTGCACAAGAGAAGTTATTACCCCTCTTTCTATGGCACACAGGTGCAGTATTTCCTATGAGAGTCAGATTCACCACTCACACGCAGTATGGTCAATCCACCATACACAGTAGATAGAAAACCTCTCACAACCACCACACACTATGCTTGTACTAAATACTAGATTCCTCCTATCTGAGGAATGCCCATATTGGAGAGTAGTAAGCAGCTGGGCTGCTTTAAAGCATTTCATACATCCTGCTCCTGCCCTGGCTCTTTCCCAGGAACTCTTCAGAAAAGCACCCAAGTGAACTGCAAGCAAGTTGAATTGTTCTCAAGGTCAAATGCCCTGCTGGGAAAAGGGCCAGCACAGCAGAAAGACAAATGCCAGGCATGTAACCCAAAGGTTACAGCACTAGAGGTTACTCCAGAGGTACCTGCCAAGTTAGTCTCTCTATTGCACAGCTTCAGGCTTTGTCAGAAGAGCGAGCCCTGCCTTGCCCAAAGGTAAGAAATGATCAGAGCAGCAACGTCCCATCATCACAGGTACACTGCATTGAGAGGCTGCTCATCACGGATTCAGATGGTTCTCAGAAGCAGATTCTGAACCCTGGCAGCACCACGGTGCCTCGCAGATGAGGCAGCAGTTAAGTTCCATGGCAGGGCTGCACCAGTGGAGTTCTCACAATATCAGGTCTTGCCATGACTGCGGATTCTCGTTACAGATCTTCAAGGCTGAGACAGCAAACAAGCTGTTACTGGGTTGCTGTCTGCTGTCTATATTGTTGCACCACCAGCAAAACACAGTATTTCATTATTGCTACACTGCTAAGATATCCATCAGCACAAAGGGTGTAAGACAGCTCCCACGAGTCTCCAATCTGACCAAACCGTTCTGATCCCGCTCCGGCATGAAGGCCTGACATCCATACACAGCTCCCGGTGGCACGCTGGCAGAAGCTGGAGTTATTCAGGGCCACGAGGGCTTGGTGCCTGCTAAGAAGGCAGGTCCTCAAACAGACCCCACAGGCCTGTAGTGGTGCCCACCGACTTCTGCCTCACCACCGGCCTTACGGGAAGACAATAGGCTCCCGGGCCTCGCCCGCTCTCTGCAGAGCATCGGGCAGCTTCGCCTCGCGCTTCGAGCCTCGTCCGGGCCCCGCACGTCCCTTGGCGGCTGTGCCCGCCGGGGCGGAGCGGAGCGGCTCGGCTCGGCTCGGGGCGCGGTGAGGCCTGTGGATGCTGACCTGTCGGATGGCCGCCAGCGTGTTCTCGGGCGCGTCGTGCGCGCCGCCGCGGTGGGCGATGCGGGCGGCGGGGCCGCGGGGCCGCAGGACGCGCTGCGCGCTCTGGGGCGCGGCGGGCTCCAGGCTGAAGAGGTGCAGCGCCAGGTAGAGGCCGGCCGTCAGGAGGCCGGACAGCGCCGGGCTGCGGCTCAGCGCCAGCGCCACCACCAGCAGCGCCGTGAGGGACCCCAGCAGGCCCTCCCCGCGGCACAACATGGCGGCGGGACCCACCGCGCCGGGCCGGCCGGCACCGAGACCGCCAACACGCCTCGGGGCGACAGCGACGGCAACACCGCCCCGCCCCAACTCCGCCAGCAGCCAATCAGTGCTCTCCGCTCCCAAGCCTTCAGCCAACCAGCTGTCCCCTCCCCCGGCTGCGCTGAGGGCCGGGTGAGGCGGTGGCGGGAGTCCCCCTCAGGTAATGGTCGGAGCAATGGTGTGAGGTGCGGATGGTTCCAGGTTAAAAACGCTCGGTCAAACATAAATGTTATACAGCTAGCTATATATGTTGTGTAGCTAACTGTCCCTCATGCCTGCTCCCAAGCTAAACCCGAGACTAAACCCCGGTGCTGTGAGGAGGGCCGAGAGCCATCCGAGGGACAGACCCACATTCCCTCTGCTCAGGGAGGCGTCTGCTGGAGAGGGATGCTCGCTCCTGGCACTGTGGGTGACAAACGGGAAGAATAGAGAGGAGAAAGCAACAAGACAGGGAAATCAGTGAAACTTGAGGAAACTGGGCTTGTTTAGTACAGAAATAGAGTGGCAACGCAGAGGAGATAGCAGTTTGTATTCACATAAATGAGGATTTTGTGGGGGTTTTTTGTGTTCTCTGTGGGAAGGATGGGAAAAAAATGACTGCTGTGAGGAGCTCTTGCCAACCAGAGGTGGAATAGGCACCAGGTAATCTTCTAAACTGGGTATATATGTATATATATTTGTCACATATCATCCTACCTGGTTCTGAGCACCTTGGATATTCTTTTCTGTCCTATGGCTTTGTGTTTCTGCCGGGTGTGTCTGAGGAAAAAACCTGACACACACATGCAGACACATAACATAATGGAATGTATAATTAAATGTCTTACATATTTAGAGATCTCTTGATAAACAACAGCATTTGTTGGGATTAAAGACAAAGATTTACCCCCCCTCAATGATGTTTAACATACTGAAGAGGTAACAGATGGAGTTGTGTTTCTGAAACAAGAACAGCACTTTTAACACCCCGGAACGTTCATGGGGAACTAGGTTCATTGTTCCTGGGCCTGTTGCTGGCAGACAAGTGTGCATTTTCCACCTGACCTGCCTCCTGGGTGAGTATTACCTGCTCCTCGGCTGGCAGGACCAGCAGCTGGCTGCCGCCCGGGTGGGATGGGGTGAATGTCTGCCATTACAACCTGATGCTGTTCTAGAAGAGCCTATTAGCAACTTCTCATGTTTATCTTGCTCATCAGTGTGTGTCTGGTGGCACCAATACTTGCTAGTGACCGTCTGTGGTCCAGGTTGTACGAGAACTGCGCAGCCGTGTGATACTTGGTGTGATAAAGCAGAATAGGCTTCACCCGTGCTGATAGAGATCTCTTGGAAACTTATGGGTGGGAATCACTGGGAATCAGTCCCGGGTGGCCCTCGGTGCCACCTCACGCCTCTGAATGCTGGGGCTGCCTTTGCCCGGGAGCTGTCCCGCGGGCGCAGTGATGCGAACAGGTTTGTGGATGGCGCTCATGCGCTTCCCCAGACCAAATCAAGAGGGTTTTTTCCTCAACTTTGGGCCGCAGAGAGCCCAGTGCCTCCCCCCTGTGCACAAGCCCGCCCGGGAGGAGGAGCGGAGCGGAGCGGGCCGCAGTGCGCGCTGGGGCCTGTAGTGTTGCGGCGCTCGGCTCGGTTGCGGGGAGGCGGCGTCGCTCGGGGCAGCCGGGCCGGGCTGGGCCTCCGGGCCCCGAGCAGGTACCGAGCGAATCGCCGGGAGAGCGGGCGCTGCGCGCATCGCAGAGGCCGTGGTGGGCGCGCTACTGTCGGGCGGGGAGGGCCGGGGTTCCCGGGCCCGGCCCCGCCGGTGCCACTGGCCTCCCGGAGCCAATGTGGGGCAGGGCGGCCGAGGGGAGAGGAGAGGCCGGCGCCCGGCCTGTGGAGGGCTGGGTGCGCACGGGGCTGCGGGGGGACGGCGGGCAGGCAGAAATAGGCTGAAGGGGTGTGCGAAGGGAACAAAAGCGTTGGCAGGCTTTGCCAGGAGGTGCCTGGCTCTGGCTTCTGACTCCGGTCGGCATGGGCAGTGTGAGGAATGTCGGCTTCTGTAGGGAAGCAAGGCTAATTTAGGGTTTTGGTAGAAGCATTGGCGTGTGTTCGTACAGGCATGTATGAAGGAGGAGGCTCGTGGGGTTGAGACACAGATTCCCCTAAATATGAAGGCTGGTCTTAGTTTAACACCAGCATTTCTATAATTTATTTTTTTTTTACTGCAATTTTATTTATTCATTGCAGTTGATGGGATCTGTCTGATAGCTGTGGGAGGCCTTAGAGGTTTAGTCTTGGGTGGAAATTGTGAAGATTGTGGCGTGTACTTTTGTAAGTCGATCACCTTGATGCTTGCTTGCTTCTCTGTACCTGTGATCATCATTTTTTGCTCATTCAGCCTCTATTTTTATATGGGGAAAAAAAGAACAGCTTTTCAGCTTTTGTTAGTGATAGGAAGAAGAGAAACTTACTTGGGTTTTCTAATGTGTAATTTGTTTCCCAGAATAGAGCAGCACAATTAGTTGTGATACTGTTTTCCCTTCATGGTCTTGGAAGTACATGGAAGTGTAATGTTATTATTCTTTGTAGCTCAGTTAAAATGAAGATGGAGGATTATGAAATATTCTGTAAGAAGCATCTTGCCAGAATCCAAGCAGAGGCACTAAAAAGAGAAACCTCTTTCACTGTTCAGCAGAAAAGTATCTCCCTCATTCAATTCCATGGAGTTCCTGTGCTTTCTCCTCTGGTAAGGGGTGTTATTTATTTATTATTTTCTTCTCTAATGTGCTAACTTGTGCTATTGGCACGAGCCTTGATGTCTTCATGTAACGATTCTACTGAAGGTACAGTTCTGTGTGAGGTGTCATCGAGCCTGCTCTTTAGTTTATTCTAGGCATTCTTAGCCTTAATATTACAAAGTAAAGGGGTAAAATGTACTTTTTTTTACATTGACTATGTTTGCCTTAATTTTTTGAAATTTGTTCAGAAGGGGAATAAAAGTGTTTGTGGTATTAAATAGATGAATATTATTGCTGGGCTTGACTTCATAGAAAATAGTATCAACGTTCCAAATGTTGAATACATGAGGGTTTTTTAAAGTGTTAAAAATACCCCCCAACAAACCCAGTGCAAATAGGAAATACTGGGACACTTAAAAAGCTTTTAAGCAAATTTCTTTTTTTGCATGTGTTTGCAGCTTCCTCTGATGTATTTCACAGGCTCATTAATTATGTTAAGTCATTCTATGGTTAATGCAAACAGGGCCAAGCAGAAGACTGTTGGTAGTTTGTGCAGTAATACAGCCGACTTCCTTGTTTCAGTGATAGGAAGTATGAACGGAGAGACTCTAACTACCATGTCCAAAAATCAGGATACAGATACACATCAGAGAATAAATGGTGTATCTTAATACCTTTAATTTACAAATGAATTGTTCTTTCAAGGTTTCATAAAATAAATGTATCATTTGTCTTGATACTATTAAATGTTGCATAACTTTGTGAGACTAATTTTTGTAGCTCTATTTTGTAGATGTACTTCTGACTTTTATCCAAACCACATATTCTAAAGTTGTAACTCAGAAGATTTTCAGATTCTGATTGTTGAAGCAGACTGCTTGCATACATTTCTTTGTTGTGGAATTCCCCTCTGGTTCAGGAGGGCACACGTGAGCTAGTCCTTCACAGAACTGACTATTTTGAGTATGGGTCTGAGTTGCAGAGGGGCTCCACAGGATGGCCAAACTTACCATCAGTATAGAGAACTGAGAAAGACCTGTCCTGCAGTGTCAGTCCTGTGTCATTTGAAGTTGGTGCTATAGCATGTAATGTTCATGCAGTGTTCTCATAAACAGCCTCTTAAATTCATGTTTGTTTGCATGTGTGCCAAGAAGGAGTTTTGTAGATCTTCCATGGAAAAAAATATATATAATAGGTTAAAAAGAAGCTGCCATTTAAAATGTGTGCAAAGTCTCAGGTGATTGTTGTTGTTCTGTTGTACTGTTCTTTTGTTTTTCTTTCTAATTAATTTCTGTAATTCTGTATTGCAATTTGCATTTAGAGATATAAACTGTGTTTCTTACACTTTGTTTTGCAGCTTAGCCTTGAAAAGAAAAAGGAAATACAGCAATATAAACAGAAAGCACTGGACCTAGAGACCTGGAGACAGAACTCCCGGAAAAGAGCTTTATTGAATCGTGTTCAGGAGATCCTGGATAATGTTCAGGTAGTGTTAGTCCAAAGCCACCTTACAGCTTTACAGAAAACATCGCCTTACAGGCATTTTGAGAAGGTGCTGGGGTTTAAGTGTTCACCATGAAATTAATAGCAGTTAACTCTCCAGAACCAGTATGTGCTAGTACTTCATGGTATGTGACCTAATGGATTATTTAGTGATAATCTCTACAGTCATTATAATGCATGGGACTTGCTTTTCACTGCTTTTGTTGGTATATGCAAAAGGCAGAGTGCACCAGATGAATGCCTTGCTTTTGTATCTGTGTTGAAAAAACTAAATAGTAAAAAGAAATGAACAACATACCCCTTCCAGGTGTTAGAGCTTGCTGTAGTTGCAAGCTTACAGTTTAATCAGAAAATAATCTATATTCAACCTTACAGAATTAAAATTAACTTGCAATTCTGTGTGCTTTGAATTTTACTGTTTTCTTCGCTGCTTCACTGATGAATTTACTAGAGGCTTAAACTGATAAAGCTATTAAATGCATCTAATCAAGATACTGTTTGCCTTTGAAGCAGTTGTGATACAGTCTTTAAATTAACCTGTGGCTTCAACAAATCCAGTTAACACTGGATTTGTTGGGCTGCTAAGGTAGCAAACAAAACTTTGTGGTTTGCATTGTTAAGTGAACTGTGCATGGCAACACTCACGTGACTTGGGATTGGAAGAGCAGATCAGGAATACAATACAAAAATAAGTTAGCCTTTTCTTTTTTCCCAAAGGTGTCCCCTTAATAATTGAGTTGCAACACACAGAATAACCTATAGGGTAATTGCAGTGTGAAAATCCTTTTAA